TTTTATGTACACTCGCGTGCGTTGCCTGTGGGCTTTCGCAGCCTGTTAGCAAAATGGTGATCTCATTTGAGATTATACGCGAGAAATATTCACAGGGGTGCAATAAAAGTGAATAAAATTGTAAATATTTATCAATCTGATAAATTTGATATGAAATGCTGATTTCTAAGAAATACAAAGCAGGCCAGTCCTGATTTCAGCCTCGGGGGCAAAATAAAATTAGGAACAACTTATCTAACAATCAGATCAAAGTTAGGCTTCCTGTCCATAACATCAAATTTTAATAAATATTTTTCACAAATTTTTATTAAATATTTATTAAAAAGTGTTTTGGTTCATTTTGGTAATAAGTTTCTTTCCTTTTGTAATTAAAAATTAAAATGTGATCATTCTTTCAAGAAATGGTTACAATTATACTCCCAGGGTGGAGCACAAGTTGTATTAATTTTTTTACTAAAATAATTATAAATTTTTTTGGGAATTTGAAAATTTTAATTTAAAATTTTATGTTAAATTCAAATCACAATTATAAATTTATTCATCTGATTAATTGACCAAGTTGTGTCTTGGACGACTAAAAATTATGCATATTAATTGAACTGTTTTTATTTAGTAATGCAGAAGAATAAATAAGGGCGAGGTTGGCTTTGCAACAGTGTATTTTAAACATTCTTTATACACTGCAATTATTATTATTATTGATCTTTATTGACGTATGAGGCGTCACCATGATGTAATTACTCATTGCGACGCGCCCCATTTGCAACATAGTACAATACAAGTAAAAAAAGAGAGTAAAAAACAACACCTCTTAAAAAATCTAATCAATTTACATTTTCAAATAGTATATTTCTGATGTTTTAAGCTACAGTTAAAAAAAAAAGAAACATCCCAAATCAAAATCCAAATGTTAAAAATTGAGGAAACTCTTTTGTGGAGCATAAATCATCAAATTTATTGCTTTTTGCTGCAAATCCACATCTACCCAAGGCGTAAAACTTGTATAGGAAACCATCAATGAGCGTTCCTCCCAAATTGATAGTCTTTAACACGCATTAAACTTTTATTATTCTCGGGCTATGTCAATGCGATCCGCAGTAAACTGCACCATTGGAATTCGGTCCGTCCAAAAGAGACATTTATGTCCAAAACAAAAGCAAAAAAGGCTCATTCGGCGAGTCGTAAAGAAGAAATTAAAGCGGCCGTTGTAAAAACGGACAAAGTGGGTCACCGAGAGCAAACTCGAATTATTAATCTGCTCAGACTCGACTTTTTTGCCGAGTGTTGCAAATCGCTGCGATGGATCTTTTGCTGCAAATCGCTGCCGGTGGTGTGAATGCCTCGCTTCAGTTGTACAACCAAAATGGAAAAGATTTTACGACGCGCCTAGGCAATAAATATAAATTTTTCGGCCGGCAATAAATCTGACCGCAAACGGTTATTATTTTGGCTAGATGAAATGCGGGGTGCGCGCTTCGAGATGATTAATAAATTACACGAATCATTTCATGCTGGAAGACACAGAGGCTCGCTTTGTGCTCTTCCCTTTATGCCTTCATCGCCTTATAAAGTTGGCTGCAAATGTGCATAACGAAGCGCTTTGTGTGACAAAAGCGCCTCAGCCACCTGCGTGGGACCTCCACGGCATGATTAATGTGCCAATTTCGCAGCTTGTTTACGAGGATATCAGGTTTTTGGTGCGCTATTTGTCTCGGCGAATGCAAACTTAAAACCACAAATCAAATTGTGGAAAGCAAGTTGCACAAGTTTTTATTAATGAACTTAGAATTTAGAATTTATTTTTAATTTTTTTCTAAATCTAAAAAGAAATCGATTTCATAAAAACTAACGCATAAGTTGCAGTTGAATCATATTTTCATAAAATTATATTTTTGAAGCATTTGGAACATCAAGTCTTATTTATTATTTTCATTGTAAAATAACATTAAATTAGCTTCAATCCAGACCGTCATTACATACTTTATGGAAATTGTAGCAAGAAATTTATATAAATATAATTAAATAATTAAAAAACATAAATATTAAAATAATGAATATAATTTAGTTAAAATAAGAATAAAATAAATGAAGGATTAATTAAAAAATAATTATAAATCTTGCGATGGTTTAACTTAAAGTAGAAATAAACAGCTAGAAATTTATTCTAATAATTTACTCTGACCAATTCTAAGAAATATACTTGGTGAAAACCGGCACCAACAAAGAACAATAGGATTTGCCTATCAGCTCCAATCAAGAGCCGAATTCTCTCTAGAGCTAGACGGTGCACGCGGTGTTCAATCAATTAAAAACAATAGGCTCGTTGATGGTATCGGACGAAAATCACGGCCGCCAATATGATAACAACAATTACGGATCGAGTTTCCCAGGCGTCCGCGGATTGTTACCCGAGGCACAAGAAAGACACGGCCCGGCGCGCATACAATATTTTATCGAGGGCTCCGATCGGATCGGCAGCAGCTCTGGCGTGACCGGCCGACCAAAGAGCCAGAAAATAGTCTCCGCCACCATTACTTAAAGGAGGTTTAATCGACGTGAACTCGCGAGGTCACGGACTCACTCTGTTGCACTACGATTTATTTATTCATCCCCTCGACGCTCTAGGAACAGGAATTCGGAGAGCCCGCCAGAGTAAAAAGAGAAAAGCAAATAATTCTTTAGGTTGCTGACAAATGCAATCGGAAAATAAACAATCGGAAACTATGTTAATGGCACCCTTGGCTAGGGAACGAAAAGTATTTCTTTGGCTGCTGCTCACAACGATTAAGATAATAAATGGACCTGTTTTTGACACAAGACTTGAGAGGAATCGAAACTCAGACCAACTATTTCTTTCAAAAAATGTACGATTTTAAACAAAATTCTTCCGACGGATTTAATTTAAAAGAAATGTTGCAAAAGTGTTGAGCACCAACAAATAATCCATTAATACACTTGAAATATAGTTTTGAATAAACATGTAAATTTTAAAATAAATTAATTGATTAAGCTAATGAAAAATAAGCAAATTATTATTTTTTATTGATTAATAGTTGTTTTTGCTATATAATTATTGCAATTATTTCTCAGCAAAAGTAAAAGATTTTCCGCTCAAGTGACAGCCAGACGTTTTTTTCAACCCTATTTGGCAGCAGCTCAGGTTAATCAAGCGACCGCAAGTGCAATTTGCAATTCAATTATCGCACCGTCGCCGAGGCACATACTTAAGAGGGTATAACGAGTACCTAGCGACCTCATTGCAAATTGAAATCACGCGCAATTCTCAGCCGCACCTATAAAAAATTATACAACTCTTTTCACGGAGAAAGAAAAAAAACCAGGAAATAATAATAATAATCGTTGTTGTGCAAAAAATTTAATCACTCTATAATTACATCCGTCTTCTGTACAATAGAAAAAAAATTATACAGCTTTCGACAGAGAGTGATTGATGGTTAAACAAGTGCACTTGGCGCAGAATGATTTAATTCGACGCGATTTACTGGCTCGGCAGCCGCGTGCATCGCAATTTGCCAAATTGGTTCGCGTTGTGCCACTGACAGGGTGATGATAGACCGCGTCGGCGATCGCTCATTTCACTGCTCTCCAGTGTGTAAGTAAACCATCAACCGAATTTATTTTTATTCCGTAAAGTACCCGCGTCTATTTTCGAACGCAGATGCTATCGCGAAATTTTATTTTAACGGCAAGGGCGGGTCGAGCGATAAAAACTTCTTTCGTTTTTATGTACGCGTGACATACACTATGAAGTAAACCGGTTGCTTTTGAATTTTAAATAACGAGATATGACGGGAGATGCTTCTCTCGAATTTGAATAAATTCACGGATGGACCGAGAGCGGAATGCTGCTTCGATTGAGAAATAACAAATAATTTGAATAGGAAAAAAAACAGGTGGCGACTTTCGAATCTTTTGACACTGCTAATGAGCAAGTAAACTGCTCCTCCCTGCTGAAGGGCCGGTCGAATTTTAACTCCGAAGGTTCATGCATGGATCTGACTGAGATGCTTTTTAGATACGGCCCAACCTTTTTGACCTCGGATACTTGTGACATCAGAGAAAAAGGAAAAATTCAATTCGAGAGTTCATTGACAGCCCGGACGCAGGACTTGCTTGAGACCCTCACATTTTTCATGAATGCGTAATGAGACCACACACTTTGTCTTCATAAATAACAAAAAAAAACTCGAGTCTCATAAATAAAATGTAATCTAAATTGGCCGCGATCCCGATCTGCATATACAGAGCCTGCAGCGGGAAGTCGCCGCGTGTGACGCGACAAAAACGGTCTCATTGTTTAATCCACGGCCACCGGCAATTACTCTAGAAACGGTCTTTCTTTGTGAGGCCAATTGCGCCATGCTGAAATTATTATGTTTAAACGAATGCAAAGTAAACGCGCCCGAGGCGCTCGCAGCGGAAATTAAAACCAGCCTTATAAGGGCTAATTTGATACTCCGAGTTGATTATTATTCACAGACACTGCTGTTTTTCTTGTCAATATTGAAATTTAATAGTCTTTTGCAGTCCAGCCGAGGTAAAATGATTTCGTTTATCATTCTCATGTGTCTCAAAAAATATTCAACGCTTTGCATCTACCACAAAACACTCTTAAGTAAATTATTTTGGAACATTACGAGTCGATTTGATCACGATATAAGTTAATAAATATAAAAGAATCTACACAACAATAAAGAAATTGGCAAATTTTATAAGTTTAAAACAGTCAAATATAAATCAGGAATTATAGAAATGCTATTAAATAGATCTTTAGCGTGGAAAAACCATTTTAAGGAATTTAAAATAAAAATCAATCTCCACAAAACAGCGTTAACTTCTTTGGAAATTCGTGTCTCTATTTAATAAGACTTGATAATATAGAAATTAAAAAAATATTATTTCTTAAAAGTATTAATTAAGTAAAAATTAATAATAAATTTTCAACTTTTTAAACTAAATTGCACATTTGAAAATTGCAGTGGACGATGACAGACAAAGAAACGAGATCGAGCGCGCCAGGAGACGGCGCAAGGAAAAGTTGAGGGCCGAACGCGCCGAACGGCGGCTGCAGAAGGAGCAGCGACTTCTGCAGCAGCTCGAAAGGGGCAAGAGACACCGCGAGCACCGTCCGCGGACGGAGACGGGCAACCCGCAGCCGTACGAGGCTCAGCCGCCTGTGCACAACAGACACAGACTTGAGCAGGAAAATTTGCGTGCCGAGAGGAACGAGAGGCGCCGAGTGAGACAAGAGCAGAACGAGGTGAGGAGGAACCGCGGCGGCAGGAGGAGGCAACACGCCAAAAAACTTCTCAGGAGCAACGAGCTGGACAGAGATGAGAGAAGGAATGAAACGACCAGGTATAAAAATTGTTCACAAAATAAAATTGTCAAGTAATTACACACAAAAAAAGTAAAATGTTTGAAATAAATTGTGTAAAACTTTAAATAATGGAAATAGTCAATGCAGATTTTACAAATAAACTAAGGAAAAAACTTTTTAAGAGATTTTTACATGGTTTTAATGAAACCGGCCTGATCCGAATTAAAAATTTAATATATTTTCTATAATTTGCAGGCCCAACTATGTGTGCCCCCCTGACTTTGTCCGTCTCGGAAATTCTTGCTACTTGCTGAGCAAGCAGATTCTTGCTTGGCAGGAAGCTCATCACTACTGCCGAGACATGGGAAGCCACCTCGCGTCCTTAGAAACGGCTTGGGAAGATGGCAACATGCGGGACTACATCAATAGAAAGGAACTTGGTGAGTTCAGAACATTTTTAAACTAAGCGTTTTTTTAGTTAATAACTCCTGAAGTAAAAAATAAATCAATTAAAATAATTTTCTAGCTCGGCTTGAGCGCTGGATCGGGGGCAGATACAACTGGGAGACGTCCAAGTGGATCTGGGGCTCGTCTGGCAAGCGAATGGGCTACCAAGGCTTTTCGAGACGCAACTCGAACGACGACCGAACCTGGCACTGCGTGTTCATGGACCCGACCCGCCAATACCGCTGGGCCCACAAGAGCTGCTTCCAAGCGCTCCACTTCATCTGCGAGGCGCCACTGCAAAAGGAGCTGCCGCCCAAGGACAACAACGAGATCTGAACTTGAGGAAGCGCAAACACACTATTATAGCAAAAATTAAATTAAAAACGCCTCATGTATTCTACGACAAACCTAAAAAAAGGAGACCTGAATAATTTCAATTTTCTTACAACTCCCAGTTTCTGACAAATGCCATCGTAATTTTTAAGATAAATTAATTATTAATTAATTCCGAATGATGAAAAATAAAGATTAACTCATAGACGGGTATGTATTAGCTTTGTACAATGTAATTAATTATATGCCCTTGCAAGTTTGGATTATTTAATGTGAAATTACAAGTTTTCAAATCCGTGTCTGACATTTATGTTTACTTTTAAGCCTCTGATAATAATTAACACAAATGTGCTTTGAGCACCAATTTTGATTGTATTAATTACGCGATAAGTTTATTGCCTCTTTAATTTATGTAATGTAACTGTAATATATATTATTGGAGAATGCAATAAAGAGAGTATAAAGAAAATTATAAATTTCTCCTACCTTAATGTAGGTGCAAAGCCCGTCGCCCTTTAGGTTTCCCTCCTTGTCCGAGTAGAGTTTGATTCTCAGCTTTCCAGTCTCGATGTCCTTCGTGATGATGCCACACTTTTGCATGAAGTCGACAAATTCCTGCTCAGTGATGTCATGCGGCAAACCCGACACGTAAACTTTGGTGTTGTTTTTCTGGTCCTGATCGAACCATTTTGGCTCTTCCTAAAAGCAAAGTGTCCATTAGATTAAATCGCAATTCACATTAAAATTTAGAAGAGACAAAAACAATAATAATAATTTAAAAAATTTTAATTCATTAGTTCCAATTTAATTTTTTACAGTATTATTTTAAAAATTTGTTTGTGAATAATTCAAAATTATAAAAAATGATCAGCAGTCAGCATTGATTAGCATACATATCAAAAAAAAAATTCTAACAAGCCCATTGTATCAAATCAATTTAAAAAGTTATTATATTGCAGGCACCTTTTCTTAATTTAGGTTTAAAACTTAAAATAAATTCATAAAACTATCTACTACTAAAACAGTTATAAAAAAAAAACGAAATTTAGCAAAAATTATCCCAGTTTAAGAACATTTGATGTGAATTAGGCATACTTTGGCCAGGGCAGCCCTCTTCTGTGCCTTCAGCTCTTTCAACTCAAGTAATTCCTTTTCCTTCTTAGCTGCAGCTTCAGCTTCTGCCTGGCGAATCTCACTTAGTGACCTTTTCGACTCTTCTGTAAAACCATAGTTGAGCTGGTAACGGGCGATGAATTCTTCATCAACCTAAAAAATACAACTGATTTGTTATTAACAGATCAATAAAATTGTACATTGTAATTTTTTACACATTTTGCTTTGATTTAAATATTCATTTAACCATATTATATGTATATTTAATTAAAAAATAAACATAATGTAAAAAAGTAGATTAAGTGAAAGTTCATATGTAATCCATGATAAAACTTTCAGGTATGATTACATTTTATTTAGATTATTTATCAATTAAAATTGCGAATCATACCCTTGGAATCCAGGCGTTCTTGACCTTGTCCCATTCATACTCGGTGCCGTCGTTGGGGTCAGTGAAAATGGCAACCCCGTCCTCGTACCTGTAGTTCTGCTGGGCCGCCGGGTCTCCTTCGGGCCCACCTTTGGGCAGCGACGGACCGGCAGGCGCGCTTTTGCTGCTGCCCTCGGTGCTCTCCGCAGTCTCAGCCACGACGTCCCACTTGTTCTCGGCCAGATTCCACCGATATCGGACACCGGACTCTTTGTCCGTGTAACAGTACGTTTCACCGTCAAAATCGTAGTCTTTGCCCTCCATTCTGGCCGAAAATTGGAAACGAGTTTTTGGCAGAGGTGCAATGTTTACATTCGGAAAATAAACAGCGGGAGGCGATTCAACGCAACGCTTGCAATGATTTAGAATCATCGATCATTGCTTGCCGGCTCTCACGTGGATCTGTTTTTGTTATTGAAATACAACTCATCTCTTACATACTTCTTATGTATTTCAACTTCCATAAGGCAAAATGAGTGGAAGATTTGCTAACAAGAGGAAGTTTGGGAAATTCGACAACCGGAATTCAGGTCCTTCAAATAAAAGGCCCAGGGATTCCGGAAATAATGCCCCAAAGTTGAGGGAAATTGATGTCGGTGTGACCGAGTTCGTCAGTGATTATCCTGGTTTCAGTGGAATCATAAAGCAAAGGCATGATAATGTAATAATTATCAAAGCTTATAATAATATATTTTTTCTTCAGGTTTTCCGACTTCCTCGTAAATGAGATCAACTTGGAAAATGAAGAAATCCACTTGACAGATAAAGATCCAGTTGTTTTGGATGGTGAGAATGAGAAATTACAAATTTACGAAGATTTATTCTCTTTTGAAATCTTTTTTTATTCTTTATCAGAACCACCAGATGATCTGGAGTTTGCTTCCTTGGATGATTTCACAGACGCAATTTCAAAGGATGATTGGGAAGCCTTGAAAAATTTAGCTGATACAAAGTCAGGTTCTGTTGAAATTGATGTAAGAAAATGTTTTATTAAAAATTCATGACCATTTCAATATTGAATAAAATTTTCAAGGTATCTAACAAAAGCAAGGACGAAAGGCGTCAGATTCATGAATCTATCAAGAAAATTTACAAATCGGAGCTGACAGCAAACACCAAGGACGTGGATGGTAGAAAACTTATTACAGTCTCCTTTAAGACTGGTAATTTAAAACTTAATTTCTTGAAATATTTAGGCTAAATTTTTCTTCATCAGATACGAGGCGCTCATATTACAAGTCCAAAGACCGATACATCCACTTCACTCTCTACAAGGAAAATATTGACACAATGGAGGCAGTGAACCAAATGTCTCGGAAACTAGGGTATTTTATCGTAAATTAATTTAATATAATAAAACCAAATTCGGAATAGATTGCGTCCAGGTATGATTATGTATGCCGGGACTAAAGACAAAAGGGCAAAAACATGTCAGAAGATGTCACTCATGAATGTCAAGCCAAGCAAAATTTTGAATGCCATCAAGTATTTGCGTGGCATGCATGCGGACGGATTCAAGTTCTGCGGGATTCCCCTGCAGCTGGGGATGCTCAACGGGAACAGATTTCAGATTGTCCTAAGGTTTGATACAAATTTTCGTTTTTCCTTCAAATGATTTAATTTAACTGCTTCAGAAATTTTTTTTGAGAATTTCTTTGGGTTTTTAATTCTCAAAAAACTATTTCCATTCGTGGTGGACAACAAAGTGGCAGCCCCTTCATTGCGCTGTCGCTTTGCCCGTGCTGTATAAAATCGCAGACCGCGATCAGCAATTGGGGCGCAAAATATCACTCCGGTTTTGCGTGGCTCGGGTGGCGACCGCCGCTCTTCCCTGAGATGAGACATTTACTTTGGGAAAAAAAAGGAAGAAAGAGTCGGACGAGGGGGTGGTTCGCTGGTGAAGGCCGCGAGCTCTCTCTTTTTCGTTCTCTGCAGGTTGCTAAGAAGCAGCCAGCAGTCGTATTTGTGCGCCGAGCAAAGCAACATCTTCTCGCAGCTCGCTGCGGGTGGAATTTGATTTGCTAGGCAAAGTGCTGCTGATGAGGCTTCAATAGCCGAAACAGCTGTCCAGCACAAAACAATACGGACAGATTGGGGTGGTTTTAAAGAGTTTTAATTTTGGGAAATTTTCGCCCTCAATTAAAATTGTTTATTATCACAACAGGAATTTTCTAACTTTTTTACACTGGTTTTTGTCTCAGTATCTCGCGTCTCGGAACGTAATTCCACGTAAAAGGTGTTTAGTCAAAAGTACTAATTTAAATTGCTTCAGAAATGTTACCGGCTCTGACGAGCAGATTGAGCTTTCCATGAAGTCTCTGCAGGAAAAGGGATTTTTAAACTACTTTGGCCTGCAGCGTTTTGGTACCCAGTCTATTCCAACTTTTTACATTGGAAGGGCCCTCGTCTCTGGAAATTGGCAAGAGGTAAACTATTTTTAAAAGCAAGTATATCTCATTGAAATTCTCTTATTCAGGCTGTGGATCTGATTCTAAAACCAAGGGATGATTGCGAATACCCAGACATGACCAAAGCCAGGCAGATTTGGTGGGAAAAGAAAGACGCTTCTGAAGCTCTGAAACAACTTCGTTTTAAGACTTCGGTGGAAGCTCAGCTTTGGAAAGGGCTGCAGGACAATCACAAGAACGATTTGGTCAATGCTATGGAATCTGTGAGTGTTTTAGGGCAGCTATATTGCAAATTATTTATTTCATTTCACTAGATTCCTAGAAACACAAGGCTTCTGTACTTACACTCGTACCAGAGCTACATTTGGAACAAGGTCTTGTCAAAGCGAATCCAGGAGTTTGGATTCAAACCTGTGGTTGGTGATTTGGTGTTGGCAGACGACTCAAAATTGGTTGACACGGAGGTTCTGGAAGGACCTGTCTCTGATCCTAGTGATGGCAGTGAAGCCGGTTTGTATACAAACACATTTCAGACTTTTAATTTTAATTTTCTTCTTTTTTTTTAGTCTCCAGCACAAATGAGTCGAAACTGCCAAATGTAATTGCAATCACTGAGGAAAATCTTGAAAAATACACCATCCACGATATTGTGCTTCCTCTGCCTGGTTTTAATGTCACATACCCTGAGAATAAAACTGCTGAGTGGTTCAATGAGTTCTTCCAAGAGGACGGGTTGACTTTGGACTCGTTGAAGCAAAACGTCAGGTAAATTAAATGTTACATTATAAAATTAAATTTATATTCTAAAAATTCCTTCCTGTTTTATTAAAGGAAGTACAGCTTAGGAGGAGCCTATAGGAAAATGTCAATTTTGCCTACAAATGTTAGCTGGAAAATTCAACATTATGATGACGTAACAGAGCCGTTAGTTCTTTCAGACCTTGATTTGATTGAAAAGAAGGAAGTCAAAAAGTTTCCAGGTAATTTTAAAGCTTTTTTAATTTAATGGAATTTTAACAATTTTAATACATATTTAGATGGAAAATACAAGGCACTTGTTGTGGATTTCTGCTTGCCTTCCTCTGTTTACGCGACGATGGCTCTCAGGGAGGTTTTGAAGGTGGACACTAGCTCTGATCATCAGAAGTCTCTAAATCCAACTGAAGAGAAGCCAAAAGCGGAAGATGAGAAGACAGCTGCAGAATCTACAGAAGCCACTTCTCCACCGTAAGGTAGGAAAGCAGTTTTTACTTATCTAATATCTGGATTTCTTTGTAATTAAAAGTCTCACAGAGAATTATTTTTAACCGTTTATTTAAAGGCATTCTTTGAATTTTTTCAACATAAGCTTGGATATCCTTTTTGTGTACGAAGCAACACATTTTTATTTTTATGAAATAATGGACATGAGTGGTACAGGTATATTATTTGAAATTTGCGGATACTAGTTGAAATGAGTGTGCAAAAACCAAGGGACGAAGAGCGTAAAATTTACATCACAAAATTCAAAGATTCTTCGTAAAACTCTATTAAACAAACAGCGATATATGTGTTGCAGAGACTTAACATTAGACAGCATCAGAAGTATTTTGATAAAGGAAGTTTAACATCTTTTTTTTTAAACTTAAATATATAATATTATCTTTTGATAAATTCAATCAGTGAATTTGAAGAGTTAAGCGTTCTCGTCCAAATCCAAACCGTGTACCATGCGGTAAACTTCGGAGTTTTTAAGGTGATCGAATCCAGGTGTGAATTTCTGGAAGTTAACTCTGCAAACAGCAACACTTGTAAGATTCAAACCAACCCTCCATTTAAGCAAAGTACCCTAAAGTGTGGCCAACAATAACTTCAGTACTTGCGCTCATCATCTCGGCAATTTCGTCTTCTGATAATTGTGGTGCAGGTGACTGTGTCCTGAAAGTTTCTTGGTTTTAGCCCCGAATTGCCCATTTTTTTTAAAAAAAATTGATAGTAATTTACTTTATTTATTTATTATTAATATTATAAACGTATAAAACAAAGAAATCAGGAACTCACCTGCGTGTTTATACTAAATTTCTATTACATTTTTTCTCAGGTATTTAGGGCAAGAATACACAGAACGAATCTAATGGGCTAATTCGTGTGGCTAAAATGAGGTTCATGCTAGAATGTACCATCGTGGAATCACTTTTACTTTTAATAGAGAGTTTTTTTGATATAACAATGTAGAAAAATAAATATTCATTTGTTTAGAGTGCTGGGCCCGAGGGGCTAGGCTGAGGAGGTTGGTCATTGAGTACGAGCAGAGAAAACCTAAAAACAGGAACAAAAACTCTACTTTAGTGCCTACCCTTGCAAACTAATCATGTATATATACAGTGATGTGAGTTTTGAGGACGGAGAGAGAAAGACGCATGTCTTGTGTTGGTTAGAAAAAAATTACACATGACTCAAAAACGGACAACTACGGAATAATGGGAAAGAAAGACAAATCACACAAATATAATAATGGAGACATAAAATATATCAATGTGTAAAATCGGAAATAAGTACATAATATAACAAAGCATTTCAGATAAATGTAAAAACCTATAAATAAGCGGGGGGTAACTTTCAATTAATTGGCAGCCTGCGAATTTTGCATCGGGAGCGAAGTTTTACTTGAAAAGTCTTTGAATTTTGGCTGCCGGCCAAAATGTTTCTATTTCGGTGAGAGTTCACACGAACTTTGAACCGCGATTCGATTCGCCATTGTGCAGAGAATTAGAAAGTTATACAGAAATAGACACGCAATAAGAAAAATATATATTCCAATATTTGGGACATGCAGCAAATATCAAGGCGATTTGCCGAATGTCTTTGGTTTCATCGGATGTGATTGTACCTGTAAGGCGGCTCAGGCACAGGTTGCAATGGGTGAGCCACGGGTTTCTGAGGCTCCCTGTGGGGCTCAGGCTTGGAATCCTGTGCTGGGGGCAGGAACTCCTGGTCACCTCCGTCTTTGCTGCCCGGTTGGTGCACCGTCGGCGTTTGCTTGTAGGGCAGTCCGTTGATGAGTTTGCTCGGCGGATGCCACTTCATGGGAATCACGCACTGCACGGCGCAGGCTGGTTTGGCCTGGGGCTTTGGCCCGGGCGCCGGATGGAAAATTGGCGCAGGTTTTACCTGAAAATGGTCAAATTTTAAAATATCCTTTGATTGGCTTGAATTTGGTTGTACCTCGAAGGGTTTGAAGGCTTCTTCCTTGGTTGGGAAAGCATTTCCCAGGAAGGCGATCGGGGTGAGTGGCAGGCTGGGACGATAACGCGACCCAGCCTTGGGCAACTCGAACACCCGTCCAAACTGATCCTCCTCGAGTTTCGGTGGAGTTATGGTGGGAGCGTAGATCGTTTTCTGCGCTTTGTTGATCCTTCTTCGGCACTATTAGGACAAAATATGAATTTCTGATCATGTAATTTGCAGTTTATTTCTACCTCTTCCAAGTGCATCTTGTGATGCAACTGATACTCGAGCAGCTCCTTTTGCTTTTTCGAAAGCTGATGCTGCTGCTGGAAGAATTGGTTTGATGGGGGTGGTGGCGGTGCTGGTTGTTGCACCGCTTTCTCAATTGCGACCAGCTCTGGGTCGTCTCCGTGCACACCTGTTTAATTGCGTTTTTAAAGTTAGTGTCGATTTTTTTTTCTCGTTTTTATTATTTACCATTTGTTTGTGGCTGTTCGGCAACCGGTTCTACTGTTCCATTCTGAACAGGAGGCTCCTCCTGCTTCGGCTGCTGAGGTTCCTCAACCTAAAAATAAACTCTTTGTTATTTCAATCCTAATTTTATCGACGCAGATTCGATCTTAATGACGTAATTAAAAACACCCGCCGCTCTCTTTCTCGCAAGTAAGTGTGCCGCGCGAAGCCCCTGTCCGTCTCGGAACGCAACCGGCCTTACGCCCGCGTCGAACCGGCGGCCTATCTTTTCCTTTCATGTGTTTCTATTATTTATTATTTCTTTTTTTTTTGACGAGAGATGTGTGGCTGATTTTCAACTGACAGTTGGGCAAGTCGTTCGAGAAAGAAAGCCTATGATCACGCAGCAGACCGATTTCTTGGCAGCCAAAGCAAAAGTAAAGTGCCCGCTGTTGTGTAATCTAAATTTCACCACACCTCAATACTTGGCGCGACTATTGTGATGCGAAGCGGCGCTCTATGCCGGGAATCCCGAGCCAGTTGGGGGCGTGCAATCAAAATTTGCAAATCAGAAAGTGTTACGAAATAATTTCATCTAAATTTGCTAAAGAAATTACCTCTCATTATCAGCTGAGATTTATAATTAATCATGGCATTTCGAAAAAAATCTACAAAAACTAAAAACAATGAAATTTATTGACAAAAATACACGTCTTTACTAAAATATTTTGCAACTTTAAATATTAAATCTTCATATTGAAACTGAATTTTTAAAAGTCGAGATTTCTGTCTCGTGACAATGCAATAGCCATGCCGTAGAAATTTTTGAAAGTACATCTTCGGAACTGAGGTTAAAAATAGCCCGGACGTATATTCGCGGATTTAATTCCGACCGATCAGCTCATTTGAAATCGAGAAAAAATCTCTGTGCCCATTCAAGGTTGTCGCCCCCGTGCACCCTAAGGAGTGTCGATTTGTTTACTCACAGTGGTCATTTCGCACTGAATTTAAAACAAAGTGTCCGCAGCGGCGATTGTCTCCTGTGAACCGGGCGAATGCTCTCACAAAACTACAAAAGATTCCAACAATCTGACTACATAAATAGAATCTGCTTCCCCTAAAGTCGAGCGCTCATAGACGTGCGAGAGAAAGAGCGTTAAGAAACCTCCCCTTCGCAAGTTCGCGTGTTGTCCTCGGCAAACCTTGGCCCCGTAAAGTTACGATATTTACATTGACGGAGATGCCAAAAATGCACTTGCAGTAATTGATGAATTGTAACGCATCGGTAGAGCGCCGCCTGCTGATACGAGGCAGAGGCTCTCTTCCGAAGCTTGATAGACTCACGGCAACTGGTTCTGGCGTGGGCTCCTTCGGCGGCAGTGGAGTTGGTTCCCTCGGAGGCGGCGTCGGTTCCTTCGGAGGCGGTGTGGGCTCCTTTGGAGGTGGGGTGGGCTCTTTGGGCGGAGGGGTTGGTTCTTTTGGAGGGGGTGTCGGTTCCTTCGGAGGTGGGACTGGGGTGCGAGGCTTCGGCGGCTGCTTCTTGGGGATGATCTGCGGCTTGAGCACTTTGGGCAGGGTCATAGTTTTGCCCTTTTTCTGCTCCTCCTCGAGCAGAAGCTGGTAAGTGCCTGACCGCTCTAAATGTTCGAACCTTGGCTCGAATTTGTGGAAGTTAACGCTAGAATTGTTTTCATTATTGCTACAAACAATCTGCATCGGCCAGAGACATAAATAGACATATAAATGTGTGTAGGTCGGGATGGGTGGCAAACGGGGACGGTCCTACTTACCCCAGTGCGGTACCAACAACAACCTCAGCGTGTGCAGACATTGTCTCTGCGATCACCTCTTCGGTGAAGCACGACTCGGCCTGCTCAGTGTTCAGCGTGCCGAGAGCCACGTTCCTCATGGTGGCGGCGGCGACGACGGGGGTGGACAACGCTGGTCTGGCACCACTGGGCTGGGCGACCTAGGGTTTTTTTTTTAATTAAAGGATCATGCGGAAATAATGCTCTTTTTAATTAATACCGTGAGATCCTCTAATTGAACCATAGGCTTGTAAGGGCGCATCATTTTGCCCGTGGCTGCTTCAGACCTTCGAAAATTTTCAATATTTTCTTTATTCCAATAATTTTCATTTGGTCTACCTGACAAGGGAGAATAAGCATTTGTTTCCAGCCTTTTTGATGACTTCAAGCGCCTCGTTGTGAGACAGCTCGACGGTGGACATTCCATTGATTTCTTGAACGGTGTCACCGACCCTAATTCCTTGTTTTTCGGCAAGACCTCCAAACTGGAGCTGTTTTTTTTTTCGAAATTAGAATGTTATTCTAATAATATGGTAATGTCGTCCTTATTTTCCATCCCATTTTCATTTTTATTAAAGGTGTTAAGAAGTACTTGTCAAAGTTATGCTTCTGTTAAATTGTTGTAAATTAGGTTGAGCTTAACAAAAAATATTAAAAGACGGATGCTTAAATAAAATTATAAAATTTCTATACATATTAAAAGTGTTTATATAATAAATTAAATTTAATATTATATTTCCATCATTCTCACAAAATTCTTTTAAGATATTATTATTAATTTTTTTTTTAAGTTCGTTTTAATATTTCTTTTAATTTTTTTTTTCATTATCAATGACGCTTTAATTTTTGAGATATTTCTTATCTTTATTCTTTTTAACTAATTCTCAACTTGCCTTGATGACGCTCAAAGGTAGTCCAAACTCTCGTCCTCCGCTGAGTCGCAGGCCCCAACTCTGACCCTCCTCCTTGTTGAGAGTGATCTCCAAGTTGCTGCTGATTGGAACTGGTGAAGGCTCAGCCGGCAATCCATTGAAGTGACCATTGGTGTGGCCATTGGTCAGCAACGGAGAAGGCACCACAGCGGCCTGAATCGGCACAGGCGAAGCGACGATCGGCTGGAACATGGGGGGTTCGGGGGCGACCTGCACTTTGGCGGCCTCGCACTCGGCAACGGCTGGGGCGGCCTCCGCTGGGATTGGCTCAGGAGCGGGGGCGGCAGGCTCTGGGGCTGGGTCCGCAGGTGGTTCGGCGGGGGTGGGTTGGGGCTCGGAGAGGAGCTGGGAGGCTTGCTCGTTGATTAGTGCTACTTCCTCGTCAGCCATGCGGTGACTGTGAGATCTGATAAGATCTCAAAAGGGATTCCTGCCAAGTTATGGAAATTTTTAATTAACGTTGGTTTTGTTTTTTGTAAAAAATTAATAATAATAACAACATTAAATCGTCAAGCAACGAAAATTAAAATTTTAGCAAATTTTAATAATAAATTGATTAAAGAAATTTGGAATGGAGAATTTTTTTTAATTAATTTATTGGTTTTTTTTACGTCCTCTTTAGTTTATTTCCAAAGCGTTTCGTTAGTTAAATTTGACACACTTTGCATTGCGCTATAAATTTTAAAATTTAATTTATTTTTAATTCTGGCAAAATATGAGATTTTTTTGTTTGCCAGCGTCGGATCAGATTGATATCTAGGCACACAATGGCATTGTGCTGCGCCACGAAGCGCTCGCGACTGAAAATAGCCACAGAGGCTGCTTTATTGGATCACTCTTGTAGCGATTGAGCGGAATCGTGCTCTGCTATTCTTGAAAGGCGAGTCGAGAGGCGATGCCCGCCAGCGGCATGGTTAGCGCAATTTCAACCCCCCTCAGCAAATTATATTGTGTCATTGACACTTGTGGATGACATAACACCACACTTTAGTGTCAACTTTAAAATAAACAACATGGCTTTTTGGTGTCAAGTCATTAAATTTCGATCAGTAAAATAAAAAAATGATCCACTACCCTTATATTCGTGTGATAAATCATGTGCCAAATATCTTGTTGATAGCTCGTAAATTTTATCCAAGTCTTTCAAAGTAAGCAATTTTTATCAAAAATCATATTTTTATTTTAAGATTTTATCAAAATTAGCTTCAAAATTTTTGCGAATATTGCCATTAATCACCTAGGTGAGACATATTGAGCTATCAAATTTCGCCACGAATGAAAAAGTATAACACCCGAAAGAAATAATTTTTTTTATGAAAAAAGTCCTACGCCTCCTGCGTGCATTTTGAGGGGAACCGGTTGTGTCCCGACTGACTTACCCCTAAGAGTGTGCCGGTCAAGGAGAGTGCAGGAACCACCAGACCATCACCAGAAGTTCTGGTGAGCGGACTAAGAGCACTCACTCTCGCGACGGACCACCCCCCAGTCAAATTTAGTCTTTGAGCCGCCACAGAGAAGCGCCAAGAATCCCTCACTCGCAGGACACAAAGAGACGATAAGACACTCTCGTAGTTGCTGTGCCAATTATAAACTTTTCTCTCGCGGCGCGCGCTTTTCTATCCAAGCGAGTCCGCCTCCTGTCATTTCATTGAAAGTGACACTTTTCATTATTTATTTTCAAAATTTTCACACGTTTCAAATCTCAGCAGCATCGGAGGTTTTTAAATAATAAATTTATCCATATTATTATTATTTTCTTTTTAATTCACGTGATGAAATTTTTTATATGGAATGTGATAATTGATAATGATGAGTTTGGAATGGACTAGTTTTGTGTCATGGTAAATAATATTATGCAGTCTATTTCAAAGCCGCCGACAAGTCCAGTGCTTCCAAAGGCTTCGCAAACCCTGAAAAGAGCGCGTTGGTCTGATGGGGTGGATAAGGGAAGTCGGCGAAGTAGTTGTGACTTCTGAAGGGCATCAGGGTGGGTGACGGGGGGATGACAAACTTGATCGGCGTGTTGATGGGTGCCGGTGGTGGCCACGAGTACGACCTGAAGTCCGGTTGCAGTCCGTGAGGTGGACAGAAAAGTTGGTTGTTCGAGTACATCGAAAAAGTTGCCCGAGAGGATTCATCTGCATTCCTAATTTGTAATAAAATAATTAATTTAAATTAAGTAAATGACTAGAAATTGTTAAAAAAAAAAAAGATAAAATAATCACCTTGATGGCTTAGAAGCTTCCCGAAAACCCTTCGCGAACGGATTGCTGGCTATTTTTAGACGGGTGATCTGAAAGAAAGCAAAATAAAATTAAACCCAGTTTATATCAGGCAACACATTGACTCGTTGGAAAATCCAAAACAACAATTTTTGACTCACTTGTTGATTTTGGTAAGCCGTCACCGTGGTGAATTTCGTCTCGGGGAAGCTGAAGGTGTAGAGATCAGGATTAGGGACGGTTCCTTTCTTCAAACTCTGCAGGGCGACCAGCACTTGCGCCTCGGCTGGGGTGTCTAAGTCGTGCGTTCGCAAGATATGCACGCGCGGTTGGTATTTGTGCATCGAATGAAGTGAAACCTTTAATTGTTATGCCAATTAAAATATTTTCAATGATTTTGGCAGATTTAATTTTACTTGTCCTCTGACGACTGGTCTTCTGTTGTTGGTCAGTTTCAATTTGTCAAAACTAATGACACCCTGGGCCATCCACAACTGTCCACTGGCAGGCGAGTCAGGGTGGATGTAGGTGCTTCTGGGTAACGGAGGATCACCCGCTCCGGCAACGGTCCACTGCGAACTGGTTTGAAAATTGGGCGATAAAATTAATTCTTTTATTTTAAAATCATTAATATGATTGTTAGTTTTTTATTGTTATATTTATTTTATATTATTATGGCTTGATATTACAAATTCAATCGTAATTCAATCATTTATAATAATAAGGAATTGAGAAAAATTTTCAAAAATCAGGGGATTTCAAGTCGAGTGTTTTTGTTGATCCCTGACTCATGTTTACTGTCTCTAGCAAAGACTGTGCCATTTATAACACCAGCCGCGAGTAAATAGTGTTATATTCACCCCTTTAGAATGTTGAGAGCGTCAACCAATTAGAACTTTTTGCTGCAATTAACATTTTATTTCGCTAACCTTGCGCACTAGGAACAAATAACTTTTGTTTACGTCACGATTCGAAACACACTTTCACATGAAATTTACAGCTAAATAAAGTTTCATGATGAAATTGAAACATTATTATTTGAAACGAGCTTGACACAGACGTAACTATTTATATTTAGAAATAATCCAAGTCTCGAATTCAACGCTTTGAGAAAATTAAGACGTGCGGTGCGGTTTGCATCACAGCGACTGGCGTCATTGCTCTTTGGCAAAAACACTTGACAGACGTGATAAATGGCAAGAGCTCAGTCAGAAATAAAGAGCCACTTCCATTTGTTTTGGATGCAGAATAGGCGACGAAAGCTCTCGTTTTTCTCACCTGTGGTACACGTATCTGTATCTCTTGTCGTCCACGGGCAAAATGTCCATGAAAATGATGTAGCTGGTTTCCGGGTCGAGATTTTGCACCCGAACCTTGACCGTCGGAAACATCCGTCTGAAAAACAGAGTGTTTATATAAATTGACTTATTATTTCATTAATTATAATTTTTTTTTATTGTCTTTATGGTCTTTATTAAACACAAATGTGTACAACGTCATGAATTGCTGGTCGCAATCAATAATATATCTAAATTTGATTATAATTATCATTTAAGTTTTATCTTTATCTTGTGTAGCATATTCGGTTAGAGATTTTACTCTCTTAGAACAATTAATTATTATTTGCTCCCTATTTATTTGGAAATAAACTTCCCACACAAATATTAAATTCACGATCAGAGGGAGGCCTTCACAGCTGTCGCCCAAAGAGTAATTTTATTTCAGACTATGCTTTTCTCAACGGCTGGGACAGGATGTGGTTATGATTATTACTAACTAATATGTTATTCACTCGGGCTATGATTGATCCCCGCGTAAACGTTGGTGCGATTACAACACAATGGTATCTGACAAGTCGGCCGACACAATCCTCCCCTTTGTTTAATGTTGTGTGGCTAAATAAAAGCTTATTACCGTGTAATGAAATGGCGCGTAGGCGGCGAGTTAGTGTGAACAGCAACTCATGAGAACGCGCACCCTCCAAAATAATGAAGAAATGAGTCAAATAAGTCCATTCAAAAAGATGAAATCTCCTTTTTTTATAAAATTCAATTCATATTAACAATAAGTCATATTTATTGTACAACATTCGTAATCATACATACATTTTTTTTTTGCAATAACTTCTTGTCATTTAGTTTTTCTGAGCAATTTCTAACAGACTCATTTAATTTTTACTGTGCGCATTCAAATCAAAAAATTTTTTTAATTTTTTAACATGATTGATCAACTTTAAATCCACAGAGTTATTTTAAAATTCTTAAAGTTTAAGTTTTAAAATCTACAAAATATTTCAAATAAAATTAAAATAATTTATAAATTTTAATATTGTAAAACTGGTGTTAAAATAATTATTATTAGTTATTATTTTCTTTTTACTTTTTAAAACTATATATAATTATAATTAATGTTATTAAAATTTTGCTTTACATGTTTTTTACAGCAAAATCTGTTTCAAATTTTCTTGTGCAACAAAATCTCGCACGTCACTTTCTCAACTGACGATTAGACGATGCGACCGGTCTATTATTTTTAATTGCGATCATTGACTCGGCTTGAATAAAAGACGACGAACTTCTTGGACGGTGGCCCAAGCGATTTGTTACCATCCGATCCGCCGGCAAGCGTCCTCAATTCCAGATGAACTTCTAAGAAAACAATTCGAGTCAACTTTTCGCGAATTTAATTTTTCATTCAATTTAATTACCGAGCCGTTTTATTGCCAAACTTTTTTTCCGTGTCTCAAACTCGTTAATGCGGCCGAGTTACGTCACGTGTGCGCACGGCAGTGTGAATAAATTTAAAGTTGAAAAATTCTCGCTGCACGTTTGGTGCCGCAGTTAATGGCTTCCTTTGTTTGATGTTATTAACTCCACCCTCTCTTAATGGCTTGCCGGTAGTTACTTGTGGCGATGATGTGGTTAATAAAGCAATTCCGCCCCTCGGCTCGATCGGCACCCTCTCGCCTAATTGCCCTCGTCGTCGGCGGACCAACGAAAAAAAATAAACTCCTAACAGGTATCACGTGTGAGAAACTCAAACAGCGCGTTTATTTTCCTGCGCTCGCAATTGCCACCGATTAATTTATTGTTTGTTGGTTTTCGCGGCAGCAGTTTTGTAATAAGTTTGCTTGACCGACAGCATCTGTCAAATTGCTGCTTGGTCACGACTCTCGATAAAACTATTTCCTTCTCGAGCCAGCACAGAAGGTGTCTTGACTTAATTTACCTCAAAATCTTTTGTTCTATTCCTATTAATTTAAAAAAATCATCAATAATATTATGCTGAGAAAAGTTTTATGTTTCAGAGTTTCTTTTTTTTATCGAAGTATAATAAAATAAAAATTTATATTGCAAGATTTAGAAGAATGAAATTAATATTTTTAAATCACTCGTATGATTCCTATGAAAATGAAACCTATTTAATTAAATAAATGTTGCATTAATTTCAGTGCATATAATTAAAGTTCCAATTTAAAAAAAAATTAATTTTCTAATTAGGCAAAATGTACCTTCCAGATAAAAGCTTTTTCCAAAGAAGACATAATGTTTTTCTCAATGATGATTTTGACACCTTCTAACTTACAATTTATCTTTCTCATCGTTTTTATCACACCCTTTTTTCAAACCGTTCCCTACTCTACAGGCACCCACATTGAAACGATTCTCTCATTCTCAATTCCGATTATTTTCTAATCGGCCATAAATAACCGCATCGTGTGCTCCCAACAATATGCGATCTTGTATGTAATTACAGCTCATTAATAACGCCAAATAGTCACGCTTTGAGCTAAAACACTCCATTAGTCATATCGAGAGGAGTTCCAAAGCCTCCGCGTGGAAAATAAAAACCGAGATCGCCTAACAAAGGAGTAGATCACTTGGCGCGATATGCTCATGGGCGCACAGAAGGCGTGATCGAGAATTTATTTTGTCTACCCGAACAAAAAGAATGAAATTTTAACAGAAAATAATTTTTTTAAAGTTAATTACAATGTTCATTGAAATCTTTATAAAAAGATAAAAAGTTTTTAAATTTTCCCCTTTCTTCTCTTTTTTCCCAATTTGAAGTTTTTGGAATGACTGAGAAGAATAAATAATAATATTAATAATAATAATGAAAAAAAATGGTGAACAAGTGCCAATTTTAATACATATTAATGATTTGTTACAATTCCCTGAAAAAGAAGCTGTAATGGGAAAATAAAAATTTAAAATAATCCGCGACCCACGTCTCCTTTAATGATCTATTATATAATATTAAGAATATAAGTTATAAAACGAATTGTTAAACAATCATAAAAAATTAAAAATATTTTCATTTAAAGAAATAAATTTATCCAGAAAATCCCAATTTAGAGATAATATTATATTAAAGTTAATTAAAGTTAAATATATGATTTTATTTTTATCTTATTTATATAAAAAAATTTTAACGTTCTTTCTTAAAAATTTTCATAAATCAATTAATATTATTCGCGACAAGAATATGATAATAAATTACTGAACTTAAAGTATTCTTAACTTTGATTAAAATGCATATTTTAATTTAATTTACCTTCCAGCTTTCGTGATGATCATCTCGGTACCCAGTGAGTGGAACTTCCTCCATAGGTCTTTGGAGCACAAATCAGCCTTTATCTCCAGCGCAGGTTTGTGCCTAAAAATGTCCATCTGTGAAGGGGCCTCATCAGCATCATTCATTTCTTCTAAAGCGCTTGATTCTGCAAAATATTTGTATTAATAACCTCATTTTTTTCTGGGGAAAATCAATTAGGTCGACATTAGTATTCAGTGATAATTTCTTGCAATTAGTCATTATCCAAAATCAGCACTCGAGCGTATTTTCAATTAAGATAAAATGCGCGCGGCGAAATAAAAAGAGAAGCAGCTCTTGACGATTGTCGCATTTTGCGGGGATAATTGAGTTTTAATTTCAAGTAGTTTGTCGTCCTTATCGCCACTGTAGTGCATTAACTTCAACAAGCTCGCGCGAAAATAATATTATTCCATATAAACAACTAGCCGAGAGCAATTTAACAACTGATACACGTCTATCGATAAGGGCCAATTAAACTGTCAATTTTGATTTAATAAAACGCAGATATTATAGAAAATTAAAACCAATATTCATTGAAAGGCTAATTTTCCCCCAAAAGAAAGCAGATTATAAAAACTCATAAATGAGTCAATATTAAAGAAAAAAATATCAAGCGCCGCGCCTTGAATGAATTTCACACCAGTTTGATGGGAAGAGGAGGCGATCGGGATAGAGTCCAAACGCGGAATGTTTGCGTTTGTCTGTTTGCTTGGTGTGATTGAGAGGGTAAGTGTACTAAAATCATCACTTCGGGTGATCAAAGAGTGATTCCGCCATTGATATCTCCGCGACTAGCGCTTTCAAGCACTCGAACGTGCAGCGCTGGGGCTGATAAGCGCGCGGCTCTCTTTTCGTCAGTCTAGGTGCGACTCACTCACACCTTTCACACAAAGGACGCAGCTTCATGTGCGGCCGTGGCTCAGATTGGAGGAGCCTTTCTTTTTGCTTTTAGCGCTGCGTACACACTTAAAATTCATAATCACTGCTTAATGAGCTGCTGATCGATATCTCTCAAGTGGCCGCACAAGTGATAACATTTTCATTAAAATTCAATTAAAAGCGCCGCCGTCGATTTTTGCATACATACACAGGGCTATTTTTGCAGCTGTTTCTATGTAATTTCCCAAAGATTGTGGATTTTTAGAAAATCAAATGTTCCGGAATTGGTTGATGTGCGGATAGAATAATTTAGTGTCATATTTAGTTGAAATTCAAGCTGCACGCGTGCAAAATTGGCGATTCATAGATAATGATGTTTCGTCTATTCGCTTAATCTATGCCCAATACTTAATTCTCCTTTGATTTTAGCGAAAACACAAATGCAGATAAAAGGTGCCACTTTTTATACACGATTTTGAACGAGGAGATGAAAATTATCGAGGTCTAATAGTTTTCTAATGATTGCTTTGTGTGGAGAAAGATAAAAATATCAATTAATTATTTTTGTTTCATAGAATAGTTTGGATTTTTGTATACTAAATTATAAAATTAAATAAAGCTTTGAACTCTACATTATCTCAAATTAAATATTTAATTTCTCAAAACGCTCAAAACTAAGAAAACTAGTAAAATTTGCATAATTATAAGACATAACAACCATTAAAATAAAGCCATTAATTTTTTAAGTTATCAGGAATAAAAGGAATTTCCTTAATGAGATAAATGCTGGAAAAAAATTATGCTATTATTGCAAAACATGAAGTGAAATATGATTGAAAACAGAGCTTTTGCGTTAATCCATTTCATTTATGCTTTAGGAAACAGTTCATAGTTAAAGTTTAACTGAAAAACTGTATTAATCGGAATTAATGAAGGAGATAATAAAACATATATACTGAAACATGCAAGGAAACACTTTAAAAGGTTTTTTTATATGTATAAATTTCCCATACATATACTCCATTAGAATTTCTTTTGATTATTATCTATAAAACAGAAAAATTTCTGGTATCTTTTTATATCTGCCGTTTTGTCCCACAACCTCATTGTTTTAATTGCATTTAATTTTTTTTATCTTTAACATTGAATTATCATAATGTTTTTACGTGTTTTTCTGATTTTTCACCAAGTTCATTCCATTTATTCAAATTTTCTTAACTGAATTGACATTTTTTAAAATCGTTAAATTCGCTGGGATTTGTCAAATTTGTTGTTACAACGATCTCATTTTTTAATTTTGCTGTTGGTCCTCTCAATTTTTGAATTAAATTGTATCCAAAGAAAGAATAAATTAAAATATATAGTACACAAACAGCAATAACAATCACTTCAACAACATTTAAATCATAATTTTTGTGATGCGTTTTATTCGAAGGAAATATTTCCTTTCTTTTGAATTATTAAAAAGAATGATAAATATGAACTGAGTTTGAATAATAATACGATTTTATCTCTTTCTTCTTACTGCATTTTATAATATGAAGCTTTGCATAACTCAATTTATGATTGCACCCCCTAAAAATCTAGTCGAGTTTGAACATTTTGTCAAAATTCTTATTTGCATCAAAAGGAATAACATTAATTTGTAAGCATTAGATGGATAATTTGTGTTAAATTTAGGCGAACAAATTATAAATAGATTTTCTTTTTCTTTTTGAGCACCTGCAGAATAATTGCATATTTTTTGCAAAGACCATTGAAATTTTTTACGAAGTTTTCCTGGAGACTTAAATGTAAATTTTCTGGGCAGGAAACTTTTAAAATGATGACTTTACCTGTGCTCGGCGCCTGTCTCTGCAGAAGGGCATCGACGCTGAAGGCGCGCGCCCTGGAGCTGAGCTGCTGGTCGGCGACTAGGTCGTCGCTTGCGCCCAGGGTCATCCTGCTCATGCTTCGAAAGGGTCGTTCTCACTTTCTCAGGTGGATGGATCGGAGTTAATGAAGACGTCGCGAGAACAATAAAAAAGCTGCACGCTCGACTTGCAAAGTGAGTTTTTTTCCGAGTGAATTTTTTATTGGAGTGGCTGGAACCTCCCTCGGGTGGCGTGCCAGCCAATAAATGGTACTGATAGAGGCGGGCCTTGGCCACAATTAAACGATAGCACTTGACACCTCGGGTGCTGAGGCGGCCACAGAGGCCCGTGGCCACCCATATTTGACACTGATTAACGCCCAGAAGTTAATTATCGCAAACGTCACTCTTGAATTTTCAATCATTTTTATTTTTAACTGTTTGAAATCTTCTACAAATTTTATGTTATCAAATACAAACAAAAATTGGAACTATACAAAGTTTACAATACATAATGTCAATACATATGAGTCATATAATAATTTCAACGTTTTTTTTTTTAGTTTAAGCAAATTTATTTATTTTAATCATTTGCATTCATTTCATATTTTATTTATTTTTATGTAAAGTGGTCTATTTTAGGTTGTTTATTGTAAATAAATTTTTTTATTTGTGTTATATTAATTAATATTTATATATTGACTTGATGGAAGATGTTGTGTAATTCAATGTATAGAATAAAGAAAAATAAATAAATAAATATTATATGAATTTAGTAGTTTTCTATCTAACTCTCAGAGATTATTGATCAGATATAAATCCAGCAGGATCATCCAGCGCTTTTTGAAAGGAAAGTAGTGTCATTAAAATGTTTGTAATGAATTTTATATTCATTGGCCAAAAATTTATCAACCATCAATAATAATAATATATTTGATAATATAATAGAACGAGTTAAGTTTAGATTAACATTTATTAAAATTTCCAGTAGGAAGCCTTCATTGCTTTCCTCTAATTTTAAGTTTTCTATTATAACAAAGAATAAAAATGCAAAGCGTTGTTCATACCGGTCCGTGTTAAAAACCAAACAGGAGAGAGAAAAAGTTTGGCCATTACTTTTGACTCTTCTATAGTTTCTTTCCTTCGTCCGTGTGATTCAATTCTCTCCACAAGGTGTTTTTTTTTTTTAATAAAATGCTGCGCCGTGGCGTGACCCCTGCGAGGTATGCCACCACCAGTTCGTCAGGGAGGGGGGTTGATATATCCGAGCGTGTATATTAAATTAATTCGACAGACACGGCTGGTTGCCTGACTTGCAGGCGAGATGGCAATCTGCGGGATTCGCGATAATTGAAGCGATAACGGGGCTGCTACCAAGGCAAAGCAGCACCAGCGTCTGAATTCTACGAATAAAAGCGCGACCTGCGCCTGTGAAGTCGGTTCAGCCGGCCGCAGGGCAAAAACGCAGAAACTTACTTTGTTCTGGGCCATCTCGAGCGCTCGTAATTGTTATTCTCCGAATGCTGCTTGATTCACAGTTCTGTTATTTTTTTGCTTTTCTTCGCTCCATAAATCTCCTCCTGCATGAAAAATAATTTTTCCACACATTCATCAACAGTTTACATGAAGGTGTGACAGAAAAAGTGTTTTAAAAATGAACATTAAAAATGAGCAAGAAATATTTTTAGCAACGGAGATGACAGCATCCGACCTTTTTTTTTAAATGTTTATTTTATTTTATAACATTGAATTTTCTTACAAAAGCAATAATAAAAAAATATCAAATAAAAAAGGAAATAATACAAAGCAAAACTTATCTGGATCGAGATTTCACTATTCACCTAATTCCTAGTTCCAAATAATTAAAAAAATTAAAACCTTCTGCGTTAGCTGACTTTCTAAAAAGCATTAGTTTGTCCAGGAAGCAGCAAATAAAATAAAATGACAATAAATAAGTTCACAAGATAATTTTGCAAAATTTTAAAAGAACCATTTTCAGGAAAAACTTTCTCAATCCATGCTCTGCAAAAATTACTCTATGCTACACTTAAAAAACGCAGGGCATATATGGAAAACTAAAATTGTTATTGATTTTGTTTCAAAATTTTCATAATTAAGCCTAATTTTTTACCAACGGTTTTCTTTTTATGAACTCTTTTTTAGTGTAATTTACTCGTAGCAAATTTACAAAAATTGCTGAATACTTTTTTATACATTAAATTATGCTAATAATGCGAAATATTAAATAAAAAAAAATCATTATTTGATTTAGTTTTATAAAATAATTTCATTGCAATGTAAGTCGCGTTTTGTATCATTCATGGCACAATTAAATTCATTTTCATATGATCGCAAATCGGTAAAACATTTATAGCAAACAAGAATATTGTGAGTTTATGCAAAATTTGTAAAGATCGTATTATTTCTTTTTCTTATCATTTTCGCAAATTAATCGATTTTAACTGTAACACCAGTTCGTAGATGCAATAAATATCAATTTAATTAAATTGAAAAAAAAAAATATTAATTCGACACTAATTCCTTCACTTTCGCTTTCAGTACGAGGGTGAAAGTGCGACATACTCGTATGTTTTGATGGCTTGGTCGGTATTTATTATTCAATCAAAAGCGTGCAGCGACCTGTCATAATAAGTTTGTTTGTCTGCTGCGCTGACCAGGTATAAAAGTCGCGGGTGGCGATCACAAAGCATCAGTCCATCCACAGCCGATCAACAACCAATCAGCTTCAAAATGAAATTTGTTAGTTCAACTATCAAATATTCATTTTTTTGTCAATTTAAATTTTCTTTCCCTCGTTCGTAGGTTTTGGTCTTGCTTGCCTGCGCCGTGTGCGCCTTGGCCGCTCCTCTGGACGTGCCCGTCGTCATCCCTGTTGTCCAGCGGACGGAAGTGAGAGACCTTCAGGGTCAGTTCACCCTTGAGTAAGTGAAAATCTACTTTAATTTTTAAAATTTATTAACTCTTAAAAAAAAATTAACAGCTACCTGTCTGGAGATGGCACGAAAGTAGAGGAGAAGGGCCACCTGGTGCCGAACTCCGACGGAACTGACAACGTCCTCGTCTACGAAGGCACCGTCTCGTACGTCAGCCCTGAAGGCATCCCCATCACCCTGTCTTACACCGCCGACGAGACTGGATTCCACCCCGTTGGAGACCACTTGCCCAGGGTTGCTATCCCTCACGTCTAAATTGACAACAACTGCGAGATGAGACGCTTTTGTATAGATGCTAGAAATTTAAATAAAGTTCGTTTTAGGATTGTTGCCATAACACAAAAAAAAAATGGTTCTAATTTTTTATTTCCTTGAAAATTACTTTTTATTCAAAGACAGATCTTGTTTAATTAAAAATTTATTAATAAAAAAATTAGATGAATTTATTTTAATAATAAACATATAAAAATTATAAATATATTTAAATGTAAAATTAATAAAAACAAAATTTTAAATTTATATTTGCCAGTTTTAAATATCAAAATAATTTTTGAACTTTAGAATAAAAATTTTTCATTGCAAATATTATATAATTTTTTTTGTTTTATAAAAAATTGTCGCTAAAAGTAATTATTGTAGTTAAATTGCTTAAAGGAGCACTACAGTTTTTTACTGGTCATCACAGGAATCATTTGAAAACTTGCTATGTGAATATGTAGTGGACACTTTCTCAAATTTTCTTTTATATTACCGACGTTTTTCAATGTAGGCTAAAGAATGGAAACTTTTCAAAGAGCCTAACACTTTTCGCGCCACAAATTCACAAAACAGAGAGTGGGACGCGTGCGCACAGAGCGCCAGCTACAAGTGGAGACTGACATGATGGCTGTCGTTTGAGGATTATGTGCAGAATCTCCGCGAAACCATGGCTTTCCTGTGTCCAGTGAGGATCCGAAGAGGCAAGAAAAAGAAAAGTGAGTGTCCGGCGCGCGAATTGGAAACTTTTGCGCGCCGAAAGCGGCCGTCGGCGGCCGAAAAGTGGTGCTGCAAACCGTGCTCCCGTTAGCTGGTGCATTAATTACACACGGGGACGGCATTCTTTGGCTCACTTGTTGAATGCGTCAGGTGCCCCAACCCTTTCGCACGCCCTCCGCACCCCGTCCACGGGCCTGTCCGACGCCGCGCCCGTCACGCAGGGGTTTCGGGGTCGTCGGGGGCTCCGCGGCGGCCCTGAACAGGATGTTTGGGTAATGGGAGCGAGAATGTAAAGCAGAATCGCCCCGGGGGCCGAATCGGAGGGACCGTGGATTATTATTATGTGCGTTTGATATGTGCGCGCGAGAGAGAGGGCCTGAGAAGCTCGACCTGACTTTCGTGCAGCCGGTTTCAGAGGCGAAAATCGATTAAAATTCGCTCGGCGTACTGGTTTTGTACTTGTTGAACTTTGTTTTTCGTGCACAAGTTCAAGTCAAGTGCGGCGGCCAAGTTAAGATGCTCATTTTTTTTCATTTCGTGAATTGAGAAATTCGTTTAATTCTATGACCTTAGTAGAAATAATTATTTAAAAATGTCGAATTAACAGTTTTCGCAAATAATTTGATTAAAGTTAAAGTTTGAACATTTTGATGTTCGTCATTAATTTTTTTGTTCGAAATGTTCAGATACGTATATTTTTCCCAAATTTATTGATAAAACGTCATTAAAAATCCATACAATTAAAAATTTATCAAATTTTTGAAGTGCATGTTATTATTTAAAAGTATAAATTTTAAGTTTAATATATATTATTTTTTGAATTTATTTTTATTTAAAATTTTTAACTAATAACATAATTAAATTTTCATTTTTTATATTTTCTTTAAATATGTTTTAATACACATACATAAAATAGTACAGCTTTTTTGTTTTACTTTTTTTTAACGTTTATGTTGATTTTCAATAAATATTTTTAAATATTAATACCCTTCTTTATTATTATTATTGCAAATTCACTAAGAGAAGTGATATTCAATTTGATTTTACCGTTTAATTTTTTTTATAATTTTAATTAAAAAATAGACGAAAGATAATATATTTTTTCGTAATATAGTTTTACTCTTTAGCTAAAATTTTTAATTAAAAAATGGTCATAATTTACGCTTAATTTACAATAATTCATTTTTTAAATTTTAAATTAGTTACGCTACAAAGTTTAATAATATTTTAATATTAAATTAAAATTATTTAAATAAATAAAATTAATATTTTAATAATATTACAACGTTAATATTAAATAATAAAATATAAAAAAAAAAACTAAGTATTAAATGATAGTTTGTTTTTATAAAATTTTATTTAAATTTTCCCAGGTGATGTGGACAAAGATGTGTTGCGTGGTCCCGGGATGGGTCGCATCACCGGCAGCGCCTCAATCGAGACCCTCGTCAGGGTCGGAATCGAGAAGGAGAACGGCCTTTCCCCGGACAGTAAGATGGTCGTTCTGCACGACTTCACGCCCTGCGTGGATGACGAGCTGGAAGTCAAGCGTGGACATGTAATTAAAAGCCCTCGTATTAAATTAAATTGCAAAATTGAGCTCGTTTGGAATTTCAGATCGTCAACGTTCTTTACCGCGAGAATGACTGGGTGTATGTGATATCAGAAAACAGACACGAGGGCTTCATACCCCACTCGTACTGCACCCCGTACGGTTCACACCTCGGTGACCTGGCGTTAAACAATGTCAAGAAAAAACTGCCCAGGGACAGCAGTAAAGGTCACCTGGACACGTCTCAGGACGACTCGGCAGTTCGGTCCATGGGAAACCTCTCAAGTAAAATTTAATTGGAATGAAAAATTGAACCATATTTTAACGAAATATTGAAAAATTCCAGGTCCACAAAGCGGTCCGCCTGACTTGTCAGTCTCGGACAGTGAAAGTTACGGGATGAACAATAAAAAAAGCATCATCACGCAGGCAACGAGTCACCACCAGCAGCAGGTGATTCGAGGGTCGCAGGCGTCTCTCCACAGCATGGGTTCATCTCAGCCAGAAATCCACCCTTTCTTCAAAGTAAGTGCAAAAATGTGTAAAGCTAAATCATTAAATTTTATATTTTATTAAAGGTCCACCTAGAAACTTTATTTTAAAATATAACTTAAAATTATTCTCCAAAAAAATGGGATCTACTGTGGGATTTATTTTTAGTTTAATTTAGATTGACGACTTTTTTTTTAAATCATCCTTCAGTTACTTTAAAACTCTTAAATAATTTTCCTTTTCTTTTCCAAAAAGGACCCGGCTGGTCGTTACATTGTCTTGTACACATTCATTGCGCGAGATGAAAATGACGTCAGCGTTGAGAGGGGTGAGTTTGTAACGGTGCTCAACAGGGAAGACCCTGACTGGTATTGGATAGTGCGGAGTGACGGCCAGGAAGGCTTCGTGCCAAGCGGGTTTGTCTACCCGGCAGACGTGATTCAAGGTGAATTGACGAGCTTTTAAACACACTATAATTATCTCAATGTTCTGAATTAAATTATTGCATGAAGTAAAAAAGACGGTTTGAAAGTTTTAAAAGGTTACATTTTAATAACAGGGAGTAATTCTTGGCCTTGCAACTTTTATTTTTATTTATTAGATCCGGTTATTTTCAATATCAAAACTTCATTGTTGCTCAAAAGTGTGGTTGTGGAAATTATTTCAAGCATTTGGTAACTGCCCTAAAAATATAAATTTAATCCTCAACCTAATTAACATGACCAAAAGACCCATTTTTAAAATTTCTGATTTTTTTAGCATCTCTTTCGGGCCATCTCAATCAATCTCCAGTGCAGCCTGCCAACAATTTCTCCCCTCCAAACTCCCCGCCGCACCACATGTCGCCAGCAAACTCTGATGAGCTTCGTTATCACGGCACAGAGTTGGTCATGCTGTATGACTATAAGGTGAATTAAATTTAAAATTTAACCTTGAGGAATGTCAAATTCCTAAAAAAACCCACTTAAAAAAAATTCAGAACCATTCAAACCTAGAAAGACCGGGGTTAAAAGTGTTAGTATTAATAATAGTCAAAAAAAAAATATCGCATTTATTATTATTCTTATTATTTTACAAAAAACTTGTGAAATAAATTTAAATTGTACTCACGGCTTGTATCATTTTAGGCACAAGCTCCAGACGACTTGACCGTACGGCGCGGCGACTGGATCTACGCCGACCTGGGCAATCAGACGGTGGACGGGTGGCTCTGGGCTTACGCGCCCAAGACGAGAAAGTACGGTTTCATCCCTAAGGCGTACGCGCGTCCGCCGGCGATGACCAGCCTGTGACCTGCCGTATTTATTGGCGCCACCGCGGACCCTCTGCTGAGGACCAAGGTGTGAACCGATCAGTGTCATACTACAACACAGAGGCCTGTCGCCTGGCGCCGAATCCTCTCCTCCCACTGTCCCTCTTGCCATCGTGTTAATAGGAATGTTCAAAGTACATACATACTTAAACGAGTAACTTTAACGAGACGAGAGTGCCTGCAAGACAGTATTAACTCATGCGATACGCAAAAGCAGTATTTTTTGATGCATTTTTGTAAGAAGGAACAATCGGATGAGAAACTGACAATAATAATACCTTGCTTTTTTGGTTATTGGATTTTTATCGTCAAGAGCATTATTACTTAGATCTTGTTGAATGTGTGCTTATTTATTTTTCAAACATGTCCCAGAGTTGTGTTGACCATCGAAAGCTCTGGACGTCGAGGTACAGTGCACAAAATGTTGAGATTATGATGTATACTCTTTTTTTAATATACAATAAAACAAATTAATCTATTGAAAATATAGCCCTTTTTATTTTATCAAAAAATAAATGTTAAAATCATAACCAATATTGTGTAAAATAGAAAAATCTAAAATAATAAGACAAATAAAAATTTGTATATTATCAAAGGCACAGTATTAATCACTTTTAAAATCGCCAGTTTTTCCGCCAGACTTGCTCAGCAATCTGATTTCTGTGATTTTAATCGCTTTGCTAACAGCCTTGCACATGTCGTATAAAGTGAGCGCAGCAACCGAAACTGCCGTCAATGCTTCTAGTTCGCAACCCGTCTTCCCGTCTACCCTGATCGTACTGATGAAAACCGCCCTGTCGCCTAAAAGTTCTACCTCCACATTAGCATAACTCATCTGTAGTTGGTGGCAAAGTGGAATGAGGTCGGAAGTTTTCTTGGCAGCCATTGTGCCCGCCAGTCGCGCCACTGTCAGAGCTTCGGAGCCTTTTTTCAGGACGGTTTTCTCCTTGAGCATTTTTATTAATTGCGGTCCCAAAATCACCGTTGCTGAGGCTTGTGCTTCCCTTTTGGTGGGTTGTTTGTCGCCAACGTCGACCATGGTGAAAAGGCCATCAGGGTCAATGTGGGTCAAATTCGAAGAGGTTGAGTAATTTCGTACATTTGTAAATGATTGTCCAGGAATGTTGAATAGGTGCAGAGGTAGAGAGGAGAGTTTGTTGAAAATCGTAACACAAGTTGACACTGAAAATATATTTTATTAACATTTAATTTAAATACATTTAAAAGTTATAATCTAAAACGCAATTACTTGATCATTCTGGGTGCCGCCTTTTGGCATTCGAATCAAGAAAGCAACATTTTTTTTTAAATTATTAATTTTGATCTTACTTCAACTTAATGAATGATCCACATTGGATCCTTAATTTTTAAGAAAAATTTGTAAAAAGAATGGATAAAACTTTGCAAATCGTAAATCTAAAGCCAAACAGACTCACCGGTATTAGCCACCGATTAAAATCATGGGCCTGTTTGCCATGGAGGGTAGATTCTCCATGCCTGTAAGGGAAGTAATTATGAAAATTCTGATTGGCCTTAGATTTATGTACAAAAAGGCTTAAAAATTATATACCTGCATGTTGTTTCTTCTTCCTACGAACTGCTGCCTGAATTGTGGCCCGCAGGTCATCTTCGGAAATATTTGCTCTTAGAGCATCCCTTAAAAAAATTACTCTTGTAAACAATTAAGCAGCGGACTTTTGAAATACCTCAGGGAGACTTCACTATTTCCGAAGAGGCAAACTTTGAGATTGCCATCTGCCGTGATGCGAAGTCTGTTGCATCCTCCGCAGAAATGGTCCGACATTGAACTTATAATGCCAACCTGGCCCTGGAATCCCGGAGCTGCGTAAATCTGGATTTTGATTTTGTTAAAAATAAAATTTTAGATAACAATTTTTAATTACCTTGGCTGTGTCCGATTTGTGGCCTTTGATCCTGTCCAGATCCGGATATTTAGTTCTGATGACTTTCAAAATTTCCTCGCAAGACATCATCGTCTTCCTGTCCCAAGCGTTTCCGGTAAAAGGCATGAACTCGATAAACCTGACCTCCAGTGGCGTATCTCGCACCCAGTCAACAAAGTCCATGATTTCATGCGAATTTTCATCTCGCACGACCACGCAATTAACCTGCATTAAATTTAAACTATAATTTAAAATTTCCTATTTTTATACTCACCTTTAGGGGATTCACGCCCAGCTGCAACGCCAAATTGATACCGGCCAAAGCCTTTGCCAGTCCATTTCGCCTGGACATTCTCGTGTAGGTGTCTTTGTCCAAGCTGTCCAGACTAATATTCAAACCCTTAAGACCTGCTCTCATTAGAGGGACGAGCTGCTTGGTCAGAGTGAGGCCATTCGTGGTCATGCTTATGCTGTCAAGTCCCTGAATATCATTCAACTGACCTATTTTTTTTTTCATATATATTCAAATTTTCAAAATTAATATTTAATTTATTTACCGACTAAATCAACGAGGTCTTTCCTCAACGAAGGCTCTCCACCTGTGAGCCTAATTTTGGTGACACCCTCGGCCACAAAAAATTTCGCCAGGGTCACAATTTCGTCGGTTGTAAGTAGCTTCGATTTGGGGTTCAACGGCACCCCTTCTGCGGGCATACAATACTGGCCTGCAAAAAGGTTCACAGAGTATGATGACCTTTCCGATTTTAAAGCAAGATGACTTACACCGCAAATTGCATCTTTCTGTTAGTGAAATCCTCAAGTATGTATGTCGACGACCAAAAGTGTCCGTCAGCGTGTCAACGCCGTTTTTCGCAAGTTGTGGTTGATTAACTGCTTCATCAGCTTCTAATATCTGAAATGACAGTAAAATTATAATTTTAATTCAATTATGAAAGTAATTAAATTGATAGGGGCAGGCTTCCAAGAGCAATTAATATTCTTTAGTATAATAAATATAAAATTTGTTATGTGCAACAAAGTATTGATTTAAATAAATTGTAAAAAATTTTAATATACCCAAATGCATAATACTAATAGAAATAGATAGAGTATTTATTGAACACAACTAGGTGTACAACGGGTGTCTAAAGCTAATTTGTCTTCCTAAATACTAATGTTGTATTTAAATTTTAAATGTAATTTAAAAATTAATTTAAATAAAATATATAACCCAAAAATAACTTAAATATTAAAATGCAGTAAAATCATAAAATTATTTTTAATAAAAATTGTAGTTTTTTATTTAAATTATAATATTAGTTTATATTTGGTAAATTAAATTATTTACCTTTGACGAAATGCACTTTATTTGCGAGATTTGGTGTCCTCTGGCTGCAGAAACCAATCTGCTGCACGTTCGGATCATCTTCTGGCGTTGTCACGATTTCATAACTTGCAGATAGCGCGCCTAGGACCAGAAATGCGGACTGATAAAAGTCGATCGATGATGCATTTTAAAAAAAGCAACCAGCTGCTGAGTGTGGAAATATTGTAAATAAAAAAAAAACCAAGGGGCGTTGGTACTCGTGACCTGCGAATATGAGCGCTGAGCGGCGCTCGCTTGGGCGCAGTAAAAAACTCCGAGCTGCGCCCGGATCGTTAGTTGTACTTTGTTACCGCTAGATGGCCACATTAATTAAGATTTATTTTTATATTTTACATTTTAATCAGTTTATTATTATTTTTTCTAATTAATTTATTTATGTTTATTATTAATATTTTATTACTATTCAATATTAAAATAGAAAGTTTGAATTCATTTTAAGCATAATTAAGTGGATGCTGTTGATTTGCAAGTTGAGTATTAATGAAAAATTATTTTTTAATAGATACTAGACAATCCAATTTGAAATTTAATCCTTCAAATTTGTAATTGTTACAAATAATATTGTTGACATAAGTCTGGCATGTCTAAAAAAAAAAAAAAAAAAAAAAAAAGACAAAATTGAGTGGCGCCTTCTGCGCCACTAAAAAGGGCACAGGCCGACAAGACTTTGTCTTGGCCTGACCCTAAAAAAAAAAAAAAAAAAAAAAGTTTGATTGAATTAGAATAATTAAAGATTAATAATAAAAAACATCGATGGAAGAAAACTAAAAAAAAAAGGAATAGACTTAAAAGAATTCAGCAAACACGTTTTTAAAATGTACATATTACAATTATTTTCTTTTGAGAAATTTCACGCATGAACTTTATCACTAAAATTTTAATTATTATTAGTAAAAAGGATCAGATGTACTAATAAATGTGTTTACAAATTTTGAGAATTAAATTATATTAAAAAACAATTTTAATCACACAGAAGTGTTAATCTCCGGTTCAATCGTTGCAAATTTTAAAACATGCTGCAACAAGGTAGAATCCAACACGGATCAAAAGAAAAAGAAAATCACGCGAGATGCAATGAGAGATGATGGGAGAGTACATGAGCGAGTAACGAACGATAATTGCGCACCTGTACGAGCGGGTGAATAACAAACGAGCTGCCGAGGAAATGTTCCCACAGAGAGAAAGAAAGAGAGGTGATTAACACAAGGCGCGGGCGAGGATAAAAATTGTATTATTACAAATCGGTTCGCTCGCCGGTTGAATAACCTTTTGGAAAAAAGCGAATATATTAAACTCACTCACTTTTGCACGGCGCAGTGTAACTAACTGTATTGTGATGTCACGCTCGGCATTTACTTTTCATGGTCACGAGGCAGACTTTTATCGCGGATTTTTCGCCAGCACGACAGAATAGAAAAGAGTTATTAAGCCGCGTTTTGCATGTTTTGCATTGTCGATTTGCCGCCACACGCGCCCTGCACGATCAAATCGAACTTGTTGAGCTCCGTTGCTTTTCCTTTATCTGCAGAGTGAGGTGCATTTTTTTTTTTTATCTGGCGGTGCCCTTGGATGCTGATTCGCACAATCTGTGATCGTGCTGGGGCCCGAGTTGGCTGATTACGACCGCATTGTCCGCCACAGTGACAATGCAAAAAGTCGATGCACGCGCGCGAATCCTGCAGTGTTTGCTTTGCCTCTTTTACATCTCCCGTTTGTAACTGTGTGTCTGCAAATTAGCAGCCTTGCATTATTTGCCGATTCGACGCACATAAAAAACTCTCGCGATTTCCCTGTTGAATCTTTGTTTGAAATTATTGCCGAGTTATATTTTGTATGCGAAAACATCGTGACAGGACTTAAATGTTAATTAAACATACAAATTATTAAAATTATTATCAGTAAATTTTTATTTTTATATTTTATTGAAGCTTTTTTAACATTTTAAATTAATTTATTAAAAAAAATTATTTTTGTTTTAAGTAAATTTAGATTGAAAACGTTTATTGAAACTTATGTAGTCATTCTTTTACGTTTTAATTTCAAGTATAAGCTAAAAATTTCAAAAAATATATTATGCACGCAATTACTATCTCTAATAATAAATAAAAATATTAATAAGCATGACCAATATTAATTTCACTCTTTTTTAATTTATTTATAAGTGACGAGTGCGATAATTTAAATGAGAATATTGGTTATTAAAATATTTCAAATGCCATAAGTCGAAGGTTTAATTTATCCCTGCTGCACTTTGTCACTTGTACGCATTTTAGCACCCAACTTAAAGAGTGCGATATTGAATTTGTTCCACTACAAAGCGGGACACAAAAATAAAACTGAATTAAAATTTAGAAATTATTTTGATTTAATATATATTTATTATTTTTGAAAATAGATTCTTTCAAATAATTGTTTTTCAAGATTGTCCATTGTACTTGTGATGACTTATTTTAGTCCTACAAAAATTAAAAAAAAAAGAAAACTAAAACAAGCTCGTGTATTTTTCTAGTTTGCCAAAAAAGTATATGTATATAATTAAAAATAACATTTAAAATCATTTCATAAAAAATGACACCTGTGCATACACAATGTTATTGGTGTTGATGAAATTAAAAAAAAAAAAGTGGAAGTGAGATCAAAAGTTCAGAAGTAGAGGAGTTTCCGAAACAAGGCTTGCAGCTACAACAGCCAATTTCTCCCAATTCGGTGTCAATCACTGCCACTGATTAATGCAACAACGCGAGGAAAACCCAGCAGCAGATGATTGTATGGCACTGCACGCGCATCCTCCGCCTCCGTTATGAGCCAAACGAGAAACAGTGAAATAAAAAAAAATGTAACGGGCCGATTTGAAAATAGAGCCGTTGATCATGAGAGAGGTAACGGTGAGGCCATTTAACAGCGAGAGTGTCTCGCTTTTCAAAAGAATAACAGAAAATTAAAACCGCCACACAGGTCGACGACCTCTCTCCCCAGCCAGCCGCTCGCGTCAAAGTGTTCATCTATTTTCTGCAGTAATGAATGTTAATGATATGTATCAGCAGCAGCGGTAGAAATAATGAACCTGCCGCGCGCCAATAATTTAATATATTGAAAATAATAGTATTTCGAGAGCGTTTATCGCACCTAGCCATCGGCGGCGCCAACTTCCTGTGTTGTTTCTGCGCTAATCCAAGTTATTATGAGAAAAGCGATGCCATCAACACCATCCGTTCCAAAATGATATGCAAATGCAAACTATTCGCACTGTATTCAAAATTTACTATTAAGTGTTTATAAAATGCCGCGTCCAAAATCGAGCTAGTTCAATTAAAGAACTATTGACGCAATGTAAAGGTCTATGAACTTTTAATTTACATAATTTTCTTTTGAAATGAAATGTTTAAAATTCTCGCTTATTTTAATGCAAATTTAAATTTAGTTTAAACAGACATTTTTTTTTGTTATTATTAGGTTGGAGAAAATAAGATCATTTTTATGGCCGAAATAAGTACCTTGTGGGGAGATTTTATAGCTAAAATAGGTGAAAATAGCTCTCTCAATTTCGCTTTTGAATTAGAGTGTTTGACGGGACCAATTTTTGAAAATTTTCCCCTCCCGTTCCCGAATTTTTTTCAAACAATTTCCCGAGTATGATCCCGTTCCCGGGAGTGCCTAAAACGAAATTCCCGGACCCGTCCTGAGTCCCGATTCCTGCAATCAGCTATTAATCGTCCAGTTTTCGTGGTATGCAAATAGCACTACTCGTACGTGCGGGTTGCTTAATTTATATCAATACCTCAAATATCTAAAATATTATCCTGATTTTTTTAATTTATTTATGATTATTTATATTTTTTTTAAAAAGAAAGTGCGAAAAGGAGTTTGCGATTAGAAAAATATGCTATTCAAAAACTTTTAATCTTGAAAATTATAATTCATTTGACAGAACAGGGAATTGAAAACTGGTTGTCTTTGCAAATAACTTCAATTTCCCGGTCCCGCGTCCCGTCCCGTTCCCGCTGCTCTTAAAGAAAACGGTGCCGGTCCCGTCAAACACTCTATTCTGAATTCTTGTCAAACGTATTGCACAGCTTTTTTACTTTAAAAAATAACGTGACTTAATTTTAAATAAAACATTTATATTATTTACTTTAATTTAAAAGACTTTATTTTTTTTATTAAATTTTTTTAACATTTCATTTTTTATTTTCAGTAAAATGTTTTGTTCTAAATTTTTTAAACATGTATGATTTAATGAAATTTTTACGTAATATAATAATTTTGTGCATAAATACAAAAGAATGTCTCATACTTATCAAGTAGTAATAAAATTATTCTTCATAAGCGTTGCATAAGCGTAATGTAGAAATGATTAAATAATTCAATATTTCTCTATCATAAAATATAGATTTTTGATGAAATTTAAAAAAATACCTAGCCGACGTATAGTTGCAATTTAAAAGGTGAAAAATACCATATAATTTTGAAAATGAGGCACTCATAAGTCAACAAAGATTGATAAAAATACTAATAGATAATTTTCTGTACAAATAAGTTTTTTACTAAAGCACATGAAGTACGGTGAAGTGTTCACTTTGTGCCAATTTGGCGATTTCAAGTAATTCTTCACGCGAATTCTTCATAATTTTTTTTTTTATCTATTCCACATTTTCAGTTTCTTTTACAAAATAAATAAAGGAAATAAAAGTTTAAAGGAACATTTCTCTCTTCTCTAATGCACACTTTCGATTTGGTTTTTATTTACAATAATGAATTATACAAATAATTAAGGGATTAATAAAAAAGTTTTAATTATTTTTAACGTTTTTGTCACTAGCATGCTTAAAAAACGTTACATAACATGAATTACTCATTTAATTCGTATGATTATGATATATGGTTTAGTATATATAAAACGTGAAACAATGAATTAAACAATGCATCACTCCATTCACCGCAAGACATGAGGGTCATTTGGCGGGCAGAGTGAAAATCGACGATTCTCACCACCGTTAATTAGAAACTTTGTTTGAAACAAAGATCCGCCACTGCAGCATAGCACACATACGCAAAAAAAAACTCGTCTGCTGAGTTCTTTCTTTCTTTCTTCCTTCACTTCTTCTTCAACAGTACACACGTCTGCTGTCTGTTCGATTCACGGAAATTCGTCTTCTATAAATTGTGTGTGTCTCTCTCTCAAGAGAGCGTAACAATTATTTCAATCGTCCGCTCACAAAACAAAACGCTTCTAATTATTTATGTGTCTGGCCGCGGCAAAGCGATATGTGTGTCGCGATTCCTGTGCATATCCTGATAGGCGGAGATCGGAAAAAGAAACAAAACCCGCTATTGTTGTGAACGGCGAGGCGGCGGCTTTTGATCTGCGCAGCTCGCGGAAAACGCACCAATATGTCACACACCGCAGAGTATACTTTTCTTGTGAGAAGGAACTAGACTGAAAGTTTGTCTTTTCTTTTGCATTCGCGTTACACTTTTTCAGTTCACCTCGATTTTACTTTGCGCGCAATCGAATAAACAATGGCCGCGCGCCGAGTGATTTGTGCATGGCCTCTTAATTGGAATTGTTTGCTTAACTTCAATTAGAGAGAGAGAGCGAAAATAATTTCAGCGCACCATTTCAATATTAAACTCTTTTGGTGACTTCTGACCTGGTTATATTTTTTTAAATTTTTTTATAATATCTTTAGATCCATGCGACCGAAATTAAAACTCTTATTTGTTTCAAAAATAAGAAAATGGAAATATGATTTAAAAACCGTAAACACTTGAATATTAAAAGATTTTTTGATTTGTTTTTCCGTATTTTATTGATATTATGTATTTTTAGTATTTTCTATTAGAATAAAAAGCTGCTTTTTACGCAATACTTAAATATCATGAAATTAATCCAATTTCCTTGAGGATCAAAAGTTATTTTTATTGATAATTTAAGGAAAAAAATTTTACTTGCAATCTTTTACTGTAGAAAAAATTCAGAAGACATTAATTTGGTTCATTTCCTATAGTCTTTAATTTATTTAATTATTTTGATATAGTATTCCTAGTTTTCCTAATTTCAATGCCACGAATAATTTTATTTGTCCCTCTTATTTTTGACGAGCCCCGCTGTTCGATTTTTGAGATTTCTCTGTTGCTCTCAATTTTTTTTTATTAATTTATACAACCACAAAATTCTATTTTATTACATTTAATTTTTAAAGATAAATCTTTTTAATACATAATTTAAGTCTTAATTTTGAATTTTCATATAAATAAAAGCATTGATAAGCTCTGTAATTTCTCTAATTCTACTTTAATCATAAATATCAGTCCTGCCCTTGCCATCTTAATTGAATTGCGCGTCTGCAGCAGCGACTTGAGACCTGCACCGTTTTGCTTTTGGGCTTAAACTTTGTCTTTCCAATTAGTTTGCGTTTCTTGTTACCCGCGTTTCGTGCCTCATGACCTCCGAGGGTTGCTGTCAAGGGCGGCTGCCTATTCAAACTTTGACCTGCACAAGAGCAGTTCATCCCTTG